TCTCTGGGCAGGGGCTCCCCAGTGCCAGCTCCTTCCACTTGACCGCATCCAGCGCAGAGCGGCTCGAATCGTCGACGACCGAGCCCTTTCCGATCGGCTCGATTCATTGGCACTGCGAAGAGATGTTGCATCCCTTTGCATTTTCTTTCGCATCTACCATGGGGAGTGCTCTGAGGAATTGTTCGGATTAATCCCAGCCGCCAAATTTCACGAAGGCACATCGCGGCGGAACTCCCGATACCATCCACACCATCTGGATGATTGGCGGTCCACCACTGTGCGATTTAGAAGATGTTTTCTTCCTCGCACGACTTCCTTGTGGAATCGATTACCATCAGCGATTTTTCCGGACCGATACGACTTAGGGACCTTCAAGAAAAGAGCATACTCCTTTTTAAAAGGCCGGCAACGCATCTGCAATTCCCTCCTTGGTGTTGCAGTTGTTCATGGGCGGCGGTAGTCACCATCAGGTGAGTCGCATGCTCGTTTGCCCCCTCTCCTATAAAAAAAACCCACGAGACTAATCACCGATACGGGCACTTAGCTTCACGAGTAAATTTTTTTTAGGATTTTATTATTTCTTATGGTATCAAACACATCACAAACGCCGTTGCTACTCCAAGAGCTAACGGTCAAATAGAACGTTTTAATAGGACCATTTTAGAACCGGCATCTGGACATGGTAAAGTCGATAAATCTTGGGACAGTTATGTACAGGATATTCAAGTCGGTATAAATACAACTAAGCATAAAACTACACAAAGGTCCCCATCTGAGTTACTATTTGGATTTAACATAACCGGTAGATCAGAAGGCATCTTAAGCTCTGTTATTAATGATACATTAAACGGAACTCCATTAGAAAAGTTAGACGAATGATTTCTTATATTTACGCGAACACTACACATTTTTAAATAAAACTAATTTTACGGATTTTATCGCGTATATTAACTTATTTTTATATTCCCGACGTTTCGGGTGCTTTCCAGCACCCGTGGTCCCCCGTGACCACGGGTGCTGGAAAGCACCCGAAACGTCGGGAATATAAAAATAAGTTAATATACGCGATAAAATCCGTAAAATTAGTTTTATTTAAAAAAGTTAGACGAACTTAGGCAAGATGCTAGTACAAAAATTAAAGCACAACAAATTCAAGATGCAATAAGATTTAATGAACGTAGAAAGCCCGCAACTAAATACAATGAAGGTGACATAATACGTTTAGAAAAGCAAGTCCCACGCGACGTAAAATTACAAAAACTTGTAGTTGACTTTCAAGGTCCATATCGCATAGTAAAAGTGCTACCAAATGATAGATTTCTCGTTGAAGATACGCCGCTTACTCGTAAAAACAGTAGAAAATATGAAGCTATAGTGTCAATTGACAAAATTCATCCGTGGATGAATTTCAACAGCGATTTTGAGTCTGACTCAATTGATAATAATACAGTTGACACTGAATAGTTAAAATTAGATATTCATTGGTTATATTATACAAACATAAAAAAAGATAACTGAATTTAATACTAATTATAGATTTTATCACTGAAGGTCAAATTTTAATTTTGTTTAATATTGTATTTATATCTATCATGCTTAGCTTAGTTTAGGATATGTTAAATGTATAAAAAAAATTGTAATTTCGTTACTTTATTTTATACTTGCGGTGTTGTTTAAGTGTAGAAGCGATGGGACTCGCCTTGAGTAGGATGGCCGAGTTGTTAGGTTAATAACTACTTAACAATAGGTTAACAACTACTATATTATTGTTTATAACGGAATTACTCTTACTTCCATTAATGATTGCGGATAATGGATAGAGTAATATAATTTAGCCGGAAGGATAATGTTTTGATTGCTGTAAAAGAGTGGGGCGGAAATGACGCGGCCCCACTTTTCTAACAAGTGCAAAAGGTTGATTAGTAAATTGGGAGTGGCATTCGCTCAACGCTTGTCGTCGCAGTTAGACGTGAAGTTAAATTGAATTGTGTACGTTAAGTTAAATTGTGAAGTGAAATAAAGTGTAATAGTTGGGAAAAAACGTTTTTTTTTCTACCTGGTCTTGAATTGTATAACAATCAGGTGGATTGTGTGCTCGTTTGTCACCCTTATACTATAAAAAAACTCCGTTGCTTGTAAATATTTGACTTCAGCTATTTGACTGGGCAATACGTTATTCAGTCCAAACGAGTGGGGCTTAGAGTTCTACCTTCACTTCCTTTTATATTCTGTCGTTTTAACGTCTATCCTTTCATATCTGCCAGCATGATATTAGATAAAATTACATTTATGGGGAGGCCTATGTTCAGCAGTGGACTTTTGATAGGTTGTAGCCTTGTAACAGTATAACTCTTACGACAACCATGGGACGATATAGGGTAGTGTCACGGTTTTGATATATACTTATACCGCCCGCACGGTAAATAGCTTCGCTAAGATATAGATCTTAGCGAAGCTATTTACCAATCTATATGTAGGTGGCGCTGTAGTCAAGTTATTAACAAAAATGACTCACATTTACATTTATCTTTTTTAGCACTATACCAACATGACATATACGTTGGTTTAGTGCCAAAAAAGGTAATCACAAAATCTGGACCCGATAGGTTGCTGGTGTTGTGGTTATTAATAAGTACATTTTATATTCAAGTCAAAGTCAATGCGCCATCTACCAGAAAGGCAGATCAACGTCTGGCAGTCCAGCTGGTATAATTTTATAAAGATATAGATATATCACATCGGCATCACACAATTCATATCAACAGCCTTTTTGCTTCATTGCTGAACATAGGAACAAAGAATACGCGAGCTGGAAGCATTACTAGATTAATTTGCCCATAGAGCCGATAATCTTACACTGGTAATTTTGCTGAGCGAGATTAGAATGGCTCTCCAGCACCTTAAAAACGGTAAGGCCCCAGGCGAGGATGGAATTACAGCGGAGCTTCTGAAAGCGGGTGGAAGACCGGTACTTGAAGTCCTTCAGAAGCTCTTTAATTCCGTCCTCCATGGTGGCATTACACCGGAAGCGTGGAGCAGAAGTGTGGTTCAAGAAAGGCGACAACGCTCTCTTGAAGAACTACAGACCGATTTCCCTTCTGAGCCGCGTCTACGTGCTGTTTTCGAGAGTCATTACGAATCGTCTTGCGCGCAGACTTGACGACTTCTAGCCTCCCGAACAAGCCGGTTTCCGAAAGGGCTTTAGCACCATAGACCACATACATACCCTTCGGCAAATTGTACAGAAGTCCGAAGAGTACAATTTGCCACTATGTCTGGCGTATGTGGACTATGAGAAAGCCTTTGATTCCGTCGAAATTTGGGCGGTGCTGCAGTCCCTTCAGCGATGCCAAGTTGACTATCGCTATATCGAAGTGTTGAAGTGCTTGTACAGTAGGGCTACGATGGCTATCCGAGTACAGAACCAGAGTACGAAACCTATCCAATTGCAGAGAGGTGTAAGACAGAGTGACGTCATATCCCCGAAACTCTTCACCGCTGCATTGGAAGACGTTTTCAAGCTTCTGGACTGGAAAGGATACGGTATCAACATCAATGGCGAGTACATCACTCACCTTCGATTTGCCGACGATATAGTCCTTATGGCAGAATCGCTGGAGGACCTAAGCACTATGCTCAATGACCTCGATAGTGTTTCCCAACAGATAGGTCTTAAGATGAACATGGACAAAACAAAGATCATGTTCAATGTCCATGTCACACCTATGCCGGTAGTTGTTGGGAGCACTAAGCTCGAAGTTGTTGACGAGTATGTTTACCTGGGACAAATAGTCCGACTAGGTAAGTCCAACTTCGACCGAGAGGTCAATCGACGGATTCAACTCGGCTGGGCAGCGTTCCGGAAGCTACGACACATCTTCTCGTCAGACATACCTCAACACCTGAAAACGAAATTGTACAACCAGTGCGTGTTGCCAGTGATGACTTACGGAACTGAGACGTGGTCCTTCACTGCTGGCCGTATGAGGAAGCTCAAGGTCGCTCAGCGAGCTATGGAGAGGGCTATGCTCGGAGTTTCTCTGCGTGATAAACTTAGGAATAAGGATATCCGCAGTAGAACTAGAGTAACCGAAATAGCCCAACGGATTAGTAAGCTGAAGTGGCAGTGGGCCGGCCATATAGCTCGAAGAACCGACAACCGATGGGGAAGAAAGGTTCTCGAGTGGCAGCCTCGTACCGGTAGGCGAAGTGTAGGGCGTCCCCCCACGAGATGGAGTGACGACCTGGTAAGACATGCAGGAAGTCGATGGATGCAGGTGGCTCAGGACCGTGCTTTGTGGCATTCTTTGGGGGAGGCCTATTTTCAGCAGTGGACTTGTGAAGGGCTGTAATGATGATGATGAATTTTGCTCCCCGTGATTAAAAAGCCCGTGAAATTCAATTTTAGTATTTATGGATGGACCGCCATTATTGCCAAAGCCTCGTTTCACAGTCAGGAGCACCGCGTTTAGTAGAGACATGAAATTGCGGAAAATTAGCATAGCGTAAATGTTCAAATGTACGGAGGAAAGATTCTCACATTTCCCCTATACCCATGAAAAATATATTTAAATAATTAATTTTTTATTTTCAAGAGTTATAGGTACTTACTTATTTACCCGAATTGAAATAACCATGTTAGGTGTTTTAATATTTTTATTACCATTAACTTATTACAATGCCAACTATTGTACCGTGTAGTGGCAGTTTAAGAATATCCATTGCTCTATGTCATCTCGTGGCTGTCGTAAGAGGTAGGAAACAAATCAGAAGATGGGCAGCAGCGTCTTCGTAATAACGACTTAAAATAAAAAAACTGTGGTTGTTAACCCGCTTGCTAAGCGTGGTATTATGGCAATCTGTGGGCGAGGCCTATTTCAGCAGTGGACTTTTATAGGCTAGGCTGTAAAAGTAACGTAGGAAATAATTTTATACCTAAGTAAACTTTTATTTGTAAATATAGAATACATTTTAATTATATTTAATTAATATTATTTCAGAGTTCGTCCGCCGCCATTGTATTCAATTATAATAAGAAAAGGATTAAAATTTACTTTTTATTTTTTATTGTTTTCTTTTTTCTATAGATTGTTTTTTGGATAGATTTCAATAAATTTGAGCAACAAACAGGCTTTTATTTGGCGAGTAAGTTAAGATGTTGGATCTGTCTGTATAAAAATTCTTTTAATAAATAACTAATGCCGGAGACATAGAATTATTTTATGGCCGGAGATAATTAGAAGGCAACATAGTTCTATCAAAATTACATTTTGTGATATGATAACAAATTTCTATCTGACAATTTCATCGGAACCAAAATTATTTTGTGTTGTCAAATGTCATAATCTATTCTACTCATAGGCATTCAAGAGTTCAGGTGTTTTGGTCCAGTCAAATAAGGTCTGAAATCAAAATTTGACACTCAACTTTGCATTTTTGATATAATGTAGTATTAATGATACAAAACCAGTGTGTAAAGGTTTTCGTGTCCGGAACCCCAGGCAAGGCTTAAAAAAAATTGTCAAAAGTGTTTTTTTCACAAATACTCGAAAACGGTAAAAATTAGACAAAAAGTTCTTGTAACAATGTGTAGAACTTATAAATTAACATAAAAAAGGTTGAATGACTTTTCCTCCGGTCAAATTTAACTGAGTTAGGGAGGTTTTAAGTTTAAGGGATGAACGTAAATTTTAAAAAATCGTAGGGAGTAGAAAAATAAGCAATTTTAAATTGCTTAAAAAGTCTAACCTAAAGGTTGGATTTTAAATTTAAAAATAAAATTTTTAGAGATACACATTTTTTTATTGTTAAAAAATATAACAAAAATTGAAATTTTCAAATGAAATTTCAATGCTTAAAAATTAATGAATTATTTATTTTTTGCCATATTTAGATTACTTGGAAAATTTCCTAAACTTACGACGAAAAAAAATTTCCTAGTATATTTCGGCAGGTGTGAATTTATAGAGGTATAAAATCTTTTTTAAATCGTACACCGTTGTATTCAGTCCCGAGTTAAAAAGAGAGGACTATTTGTTACTCGTATACTACTATACGAGGTCTAAGTGAGAGAGAGAAGGCATCATTGGAGACCAGGAAGTAATTTGTTTTAAATTTTTTTAATATTATTATTTCTTAAAAATATGTTGAAGATTTTTTAAATGTCGTAACGAGAGTGAATATATTATATCGATTCTAAATAACAATGGCCAAATTTCTATAGGAGCTGGACTTGACTTTTATTTTTCATGTCCCAAAACAAGTTATAGCTAGATTGGCATAGAATTATTACGCATAGAAACGCAGTCTAGTACAAAACAGGAGCGTTAAAATGATGCAAGGTCATTATGTTAGTGGGCGCGAGTCGAATGTGCCTACACTCGTCACACGCACACATACACGTCATTCAGTGATACCAGTTTCTAGCGTTTGCATTCCAATTGTGCAAATCACTATTTTTCGATTAATTTTAAAAAATCGATATAATAAAGATTACGAATTACGTACGAAGATGTATTTTATGAGAATATAAAATGGAATAAAATAAACACAATAATGATGGTACTAATATAACTTAATTATACATAATATATTAATGGTAAAAAAATGCAGACGTAATAAAATTTAAGAATATTGTTAAACACAATTAATTTGCACGAAAATAACAAGCACATCGTGTAATGTTTATTTTTAACCGACTTCAAAAAGGGAGGAGGTTATCAATTCGGTGTATTTTTTAATGTTTTTTACCTCAGAATTCTACAATTTCTAAACCGATTTAGATTTTTTATTTGAAAGGATATACACACGGATTGATCCAATATACACGCTGAAATTTTAATGGTTGTTTTCCCGAAGTAAAATGATTTTGCCTTAGTAGTACAATAGATTTATTAAAATAAAAATTATTAGGATGCAAAAATGGCAGAATCGAGAAAAACAAAACTCGAATGCGATCACAAACCAATAGCAATATCTCGCAAGCAGGTCGGGCGTGCAGGCTAGCTTATACCGAATTACTATAATAAAGTCTGAAAAAAAATTCACTGGACGTAATGTTGTGTTACGTTTATCGCACGCGCTACCGCTTCCTACACAGTGAAGGGCCACTAATAAATGTTCATAACATGAACTTTCAAGCGTAGTGATACGACATAAACTAGTCTGGACGCCCGACTAGCTTGTGAGGTATCGCAACTATTGTAAATCTGCCCTTTTTTATTGTAATGTTTTTTAATTTAATAAATTGACTCTACTATCGAGACAGTATAATTTGGCTGCGGGACAACATCCACTTAAATTTCATCATGTATATACGAATTGATCAAGCTTAGAAATCAGTGTACATACATATTGATAACCTTTCTTTTTGGGAGTCGGTTAAAATAGGCTATGTTTGGGTCTAACGTAACATCTGGTTAATGTTTGGGTGTAAAGTGACATCTGGTTAGTAAAGGCGTTCTTATTAATAATCTCTTGATGTTGTAAATAAAAAAGCTTTATTCTATACTCTAAAACTTAGCCTTAGTCAATAAACAAAGCAATTAAAATAAAATAGTTGCGTTAAAATGGCGTCGTCGAATCGCGATTAGCTGATCACTCCGTATTAGTTTTAAATAGGCACCCATTGTTAATATTATGTTAACACTTAGAGAAGTAGGTATCTATATATAAACATTTGAGTTTTACACAGAGCGTTGCGATTAAACGTTTTAAACACAAATAGAAAATAAATATTTTTAAAAGATAATTGTGGTTTTTTCCCCACAACTAGCAACATTTGTATTATGAGAGCTTAGGTAAGTATTTTTTTTAGTTTTACGTAATTATAATGAATTAAATGTATAAACTTATATGTGAAATGTAATACCATCACTTCTTTTATGTTTATCATCACTGTTGTGACAATATTTTACAACACAAACGGTAATTTTTACAATTCTACGCGAGCTCTTCTCCGTAAGATGTGACGTTGAGCACTGACGCGTCGCGGAGTCAACTAACGCGGTTTCGAGTTAGTTTTACTTGCTTCACTTTCGGTGCGCGTACTAGTATTCTATGCGTAATAATTCTATGTAGATTGGTTTGTTTTTATGTTGTAAACAACAACCCGTATGAAAATCATATCTTAATAGCCACAATTTTTTATAATAACGTCAACAATACTTTTGAGGTTAGCATCACATATGTAATCTTCTTCAGTGATATAAAATAAGAATTAGGTTTGTATTATGATGTACGATTGTGTGTGATGGCTTATGTTAGTATAATAAAATAAGTAGGTATGTAAATATGTACTACTATTGAAGAATTCCACTCGCGGATCTTAGAAATTACTCTGGTATCAAGCTCAAAAACGAGATGGCGGCGAAGTATATCAATGCATATTTTACAAATAACACATAGCAATCGCAGGGCTAGTTGTAGTTGTTGTGTAGCTGTAGTCTGCATGATGTTTCTCACAAATATGCAAGATGCAAAATCGGTTACAAGTGGTAGTTATCAGTCCGTAAAACAATGCCGAGGTCAAAACAACAGACGGAAATCTAAAATAATACAGTACGTATCACAATCCACAACAAATGAAGCAAATAAGATATATAGATATGTAGATAATTGCCGGGTGACAATCAATGTCGATCGATGACCATAGATTATGTAACTTGACGATGACACATGATGTCCCGTTGTACGTAATTGAACAAAACGCTTAGCTTACTATGAAGTTACATAATCATTTTTATGACATGAATCCAGTACATAATAAATCAGTATAGTAGTTGATTTGATGCCTACACACTAATTGAATGAAATTACAATTAACAACTATTCAGAAAACCGTGAATATCTTTGAATACAAAGTCCTTTCATACGTGAAATGAATCGTCATTAGGTGCGTTTCAGTGCGTTCAGAAACCATTATTTTAAATAATTTCGAAACAGGTAAAAAAAAACAAAAACAAAAGGTTACCTTTTTTTGTGGCTACTTAGAGAGGTTTTTTTTTTAGTTTTTAAGACCTTAAAAAATTAGGATATTTTTCATAAATATTTCATAACGCCATCGTTTCATCGTCTGGTACGATTTGGCCAACCTTCTTTCATGATTCGTAAAAAATAACTTGACATGTTGGGATTGATTTTGATATCTAACATTTTTTTATAAACATTTGGCTTATAAATAATTAAAAAAAATCAACCCGACATGTCAAGTTTGAATTTTGCAATTTAGAATCAACCCAGATATGCAGTTGATACAATGCGTTACACCAACATATTCTAATTTGACAATAACACCTATATAGTTTTAAAGCTATGTTTATGAAAATAACAATAGTCTTTGTTTCAGCCAAATTGGTACAGAAGGTAAGGTTAAGTTAAAAATTCAAACTCAATACAAGCCTGGTCGCAAACAATACTCAAAACAGTTACAACAAAATTATATGAGATCCGGCTCGTTGTCATACAAAAATGCACGAGATTAAACAACTTCAACAAAGGCACTTAACGTGACGTTACAATTCAATATTAACTTCTAAAGCAATTAACCGGCAGACCGTCGCGCGACAATTATTTTTCTAGACTTCTCGCCCCGGTGTACGCGCACAATTAATCTATATCCAACACGAAGCGATTTTTTCTTGGGTCACACATTTTTAGCGTTTCAAAACTCAAAAGGACCTTTTGTCACTTAAAGCACGAAAGACAATCAATAAGAGGCGTTTGTCACGCGGCCGACCGCTTCGCACGCAACCGTCACATTGAAAAAGGGTGCGGTCGCCCTATGAGACGCGCGCGCGCAACAGTCCCAGGCGGTGACCTCTAAATTCCATCGGAGGACACGCAGCGCGCGCATCTTGACGCAAGTTTTTAAAATATTACTATCTTGGCCTAAAACTATTTCCGTTATTGATGCGTTTTCGCAACTTTGGCCATGGCAACTTTTGCAGAATTATTTACATTTCAAACTGCTTTTCTTACAGGTACATCTAGCTGATGTGCAGTTAGTTTTGCAACCACAGACCTAAAAATTAATTCATATTAGAACATGTAAATATTAACGGAATAATAAAGAAAGTAAGAAATAATAACCTAAGTATACCTAC